TCTCTATATATATATATACATGTACATAGACGCCCCTCTAAAACCCTCGAACCCTAAACCCGTACAACCTCCGAAGCTCATAGTAGAGGTGCTGTACTGCAAGGGTGTATAGCAAATAGAAGGCGGCTTTCCTTGGGTTTGACGAAAGTTTTTTCAGGGTTTAGGGTTTAGGGTTGATTGTCTGGGTCTCTTTTTATGAGGCCTGTTTGTCCTAAACTCTAAGCCCTAGTAGTAAATCCAGTGAGGGTTCTTGTAGAATTGCACTGCGGCACGCTGAATGAAAAGGACCCTAAAAGGGACCCTACTTTAGAGAACTACCCATAGAGGGTTGTTGGGGGATATTTTGAGCCGTATAGGGTACCCAAACGCCCTAACTTTAATGAAAACGGACCCTGAAAGGGGAACCGTGATCTAGAGAACTACCCATTTAGCCAAGACAGCTCAGACCTTGGGGCCTTGGCGTTTTGCCTATCCCCAGCGTTCCAAGAGTCAACTTTAGAAGAGGGTTTAGGGTTTAGGATTTAAGGTTTAGCGTTTAAAGGTTTAAGGTTTTAGGGTTTAAGGGTTTAAGGGTTTAAGGTTGGGGGTTTAAGGGTTTCAGGGTAACTTTTCGAAGGGTTTCTAGTGCCATGATGCTGCTTCTTCCGCGAGAACGGTGGCTCAAGCTACCTTGCGTCCTTCGCTTTGTCAAGTTTTCATAAGACGTGCACAATGGCTGGCAATCCTCTCTTCTGCGCAATCTTTGTGCCTCGGTGCTCCGTAGGAACCATGTTTCATTCCATGATACTCGAGACACAAGGGGGTACTAAGACAACTGTATTCGCAAGGCCCCGATATTCAACCCTCCTCGCACTTGTGCAGTCTAACGGTAAAAGCCCCCTTTATAAGTATGGTACAGTATAATGAGCATAATATACCCCAAACCTTTTCTAGCCTCTAAGACCACGACACGACAACCTGAATCCCAAATCCCTTGTAGACCCTTAAACCTTAGCCTCTAAGACCACGACACGACAACCTGAATCCCAAATCCCTTGTAGACCCTTAAACCTTAAATGAACCTTTGAAAGGAACCCGTTCAAGTAAAGCGATGAAGGCCCTGACATTAGAGGTGCTGCTGGTCTCTACTGCCCTGGCTTTGAGACTGGATGCGGAACTCGCGCAAGATCCGTGCAGGGATTTTGACAAGAAGACAGAATCTCGGTTTGGGTGTTAGGGCTTCGGGTTTAAGTTTAGTAGGGTTTAGGGTTTACGTTTAGTAGGGCACCCTAAACCCTAAACCCCGTTTTAGTAGGCATTCGGGTTTAGGGTTTGAGGTTGAAGGGCGTGGTGACGCGACAAGAAGGCAGGATCTCAGTCTTTCGGTGCTCTAGGCCTTTCAGGATTCCTTCAGGGGTTCCTTTGACGGTTCTGGAGGGGTTCAGGGTTAAAGGGTTTTATTCCAGTTACCACAACGGGGGGATCTATAGTAAATAGTATGGTTTCTCTATTATGGTAACTTAAGCTACATCCCCTAACAGAACCCAGTCTAGAGGGGTTCAGGGTTATGGATTTTTGGGTGCCCCAGAGGCGCCTTTTTGTCAGGTTCACTCTTTTCTGAGTCTGGGGTTCCTCACGGAAGCGGAGTACCGAGGCGAGCGTACAGGGTTTAGGGTTTAGTGTTTAGGGTCTAGGGTTTAGGGTTTAGGGGTCTAGGGTTTAGGGTTTAGGGTTTAAAGATTTAGGGTTTAGGGTTTAGGGTTTTACCTAAACCCCAAGCACTGATTCGGAAGGGTACAATGGGCCAGCAAGGAGTACGGCGGTGCCGGCGGGAATGCCTACGTGGTTCGCTTCACCTCGCCGTGCGGAGCTATTCCTCGAGGCTCCGTGGCCAAAGCCTTCGTGGACGACGAAATCTTCACGTCTTCCTATAATGTCCTGAACCACCTCCCCGATGTGAAGGTGTCTTCGGGTTCAGGGTTTAGGTTTGCGACGTTTCTTTCTAAACCTTAAACCCTGAACCCTTTGGGTCCTTAACCTTTGCTTTCGTGTCCTGAACCATCTTCGCGATGTGAAGGCATTGGCTGGTCTGGTGCCAGCAAAGAAGAAACTGGGCTCTTGTTACGGGCTTTTGTTTAAGTTACCACAATGGGGACTTATCCTAAATAGTACGGTTTCTTTATGATGGTAACTTAGATTAATCCCCTAACAAGAACCGAGGAAATTTGATGGCTTGTGCGTGCACGTGAAGAAGACAGACGAGTGTTGCAGCACATGGAAGGCCACACGTTCCTTACACTAAGCGGAAAACCAAACACACAACAAAGCAACCTCTTTCGTTAATGCTTCATGTTGTATACGCCCAAAAAAACCCTGAACTCAAGTGTTTGATGCTTTGAATGTATCCTTTTTTGCTCCGAAGCCCTAAACCCTAAACCTCTAAACCCGAAAACCCTAAACCCTAAACCCTTCATGGAAGGCCACAAAAACTTGCCACTTTCTGGTCATGCAGGATGGTGGTGCCCCGGTTGCGGATAACAAGGGAGCCTGAATAACTACCACTCTTGTTTCTGTAGGGTTTAGGGTTTAGGGTTCCCCAAACCCCACCCCGAAAAGATTTAAGCCATGAAGCATTTGAATCCTAAACCATAAACCCAGAACTCTAAGAGCTCGGAACCATGAAGCCAGAGGTGCGAAGACACTGGAGCAATGCGTCGAGGGATATCCACTGCCCGCTGGCAAACTCAAGGAGCTTATGTTGTCTGCCATCAAAGCCGCCCTCTCCTTCCACAAGAAAGGTTGGTACCATGGGGACTACCAGCTCAAGAACCTGATGGTGGACCACGTGTGCACCCCAAACACCCTAAAAGTCGTCGACTTGGATGGTATGGGCAACGAGGAAGGCACTGCTGGCGAGGCCTGGAACAAGCCGCACCGCATGCTCAAGGACTACGCGATGCTCTTCGGCAGTTGCGGCTTGGGTGCCATGCCGATCGCAGAGTTCACGTACAAGTCTACGACAACCAAGCAGGAAGCAGATCGGATCGCTGCAGCAGTTGCACCCGTCATGAGCCCATTCTGCGACGGCGCATGGAACTCGCGCCCAGAGGACATCGTGGAGTTGGGACAGAGGCTCAAGAGCGCCGTCGAAGCTGTGAACTAAGCTGTGCAACTTCGTCACTTCCACTTGTGAGCAGTGAGCAGCACCGAGCGGGAATCCCAAAGTAGGAGTGGGAAGAATAGGTAATAAACAAAATCCACGTATAGTCACTCACACCTATGATCTGAAATCCGTTTCTGATGTTTCAGGCCCTTGTGAGAAGCCCCAGGCCCTGTAAAACACTGGTGAAGACCATTTGCGTAGTTCTCCAAGATAGGGCCCCTTCTGGGGCCATTTTTATCTAAGGGCTCCGTACTTTTTTTGGGGACCGAAAAAGGGACCCTAATCTCGAGAGCTACCCATAAAGGGTTTATACGGGAATGTTGTCATCAATTATTTCCTAAACCCTAAACCCTAAACCCTAAAACCCGAAACCCTAAACCCCTAAATCCCTGTAAGAAACTCCTGAAGCCTCCGTAAAGCCCATTCTAAACTCCTTGACAGAACCAGAGCTCCGAGATGCGAGGGCTCAGGGTTTGGGGGTTTAGGGGTTTAGGGTTGCAGGGTTTAGGGGTCTTTCGGGTTTAGGGCTGAAGGGCTTCAGTTTCGGGGTTTGGGGTTTAGGGTTGCAGGAATTAGGGGTGTTTAGGATTTAAGGTTTAAGGGCTTCAGGGTTTGGGGGTGTAGGGTGTAGGGCTTGGCGTTTACGGCTTATCACCCCTCACACAGTTCTTTGCTGACCTTTGAAAGGGCCGTAGAGATCAATACAACCATCTACAGAAGCCTCGAAGAAGCCCCATACAAAGTCTTTTAAAAGCCCTGAGCCCGAGACCTTAGACCCTAAACCCCAAACCCTAAACCCAAAGCCCTAAGCCTTAAACCCTAAACCCTAAGCCTTAAAACCCTAAACAGAAGCCCTAAGAGAGCAGAGATCAGGGCCTCAAGTTGGGGTTTCCGGCACAGTGCTGGGCAGCGCGAGAGTTGAAGATCCGTGCGAAGCCAGGAGGTGCAAAAGACGTGAGACGGGGCTTTAGGTTTTAGGCATTAGGGTTTTTAGGGTTTAGGGTTTAGGGATTCGGCTTTTTAGGGTTTAGGATTTAGGGTTTAGGGTTTAGGGATTAGGGCATTAGGGTTTTGGAGTTCAGGGTCCAGAGTTTAGGGGTTAGGGATTAGTAGGGTCTCAGATTCAGGGTCTGATGTTTAGCATCGGCTTAAGTTTAGGGTTTAGGGATTAGGGTATTAGGGTTTAGGAGTTTAGGGTCCAGACTGTAGGGCTGAGGGATTAATAGGGTTTAGGCTTAGGGTTGAGGGGTGTGCTAAAACCTCAAGACCTTATGGTTATAGAGCCCTGAGTGAGCTTCCAAAGACAAGTTTAAGGAACACTTCATGAGGGGGTAAAACGTCAAACACTAAATCCCATACCCTAAACCCAAAGTCCCAAACCCTACACCTGAAGCCCTAAACCCTACACCCTAAACCCTAAACCGTAAGCAACCCTATACTATACCTGAAAACTTTCAACCCTAAACCCCATAGAGAAGCCCTTATCTCTAAACCCGTCATTCAAGCTCCTAGTCGGCTGAGCCGCTTCAGGATTGGATTGAGACTTGGCGCGCAGCCGCTCGCATGCATTGGGAGTTTGGGGCATCCCGGGCCCTACCCTAAAACCCTAAACCCAACCTTCAAGGTTCCGGCATAGAGTGTTAGAGGTGTCCCATACCCTAAACCCTAAACCCTAAACCCCAAAGCCCAATCCCTAAACCCTATACCTGGTGTCTCCGACAGGTTTTTGTGCATCGTAGCTTTTTAACGATTTTTCTTTTTTGGGTTTCTACGGGCTTCGGAGTATTTCGCAACAGAAGACCCCGGGGGCTCCCTCAGAAAGAAAAAGTCCAACCCCTAAACCCTTAAACCCTCAACCCCCCAGAGAGCCCAATACCCCCTTAACTGAGGACTGTACGTTACATTCATAATAATAGTAATATGGCACCTATAACTTCAGGTATATTTCTTAATTAAGTCAAGGTTTAGGATTTAGGGTTGAGTTCAAGTTTCAGGATTTAGGGTTTAGGGTTAAGAGACGTGGTGCCAAGAGGTTTATGGTGAGGTGGCTTCTACGTTTGGGTCCTTGTGGTTATGAGGCGTGGGTTTAAGATGCGGTGCTTGGGGGTTTAGGGTTTAGGGTTCAGGCTTTAGGGTTTAGGGTTGAGGGTTGGCAGGTCTTGTGAGTCGTCTTTAAGAGGCTTACGGTCCTTCGTCTGGAGCTGATGTGGTATGGCCAGACACACCCCTGAACGCTAAACCCCAAACCCTAAACCCTAAACCCCAAACCCCAAACCCTAAACCCGAAGCCCCACACAAGGCGCCGGACCTATCCGGTCGGGATGCCGCCAAGAGATTCAAGGCGGGCTTAGGGTTTAGGGTTTAAGGGTTTAAGGGTTTAAGGGTTTAGGGTTTAGGCACCCTGAAGGGTAGCCCTAAGCCCTAAACCCAAACTAAACCCTAAACCCTAAACCTTAAGCCCTAACTAAATCCTAGACCCTAAACCCTAACTAAACCCTAAACCCTAAGCCCTAATTAAATCCTAGACCCTAAACGCTAACTAAATCCAAAATCTTAAACCCTAAACCCTGAACCCTAAACCTTAAACCCTAAACCCTAAACCCTAAACCCTACACTAGAATGCTTCTATAAAGGGTTCTACTATGTATGGGACTCAATGATTCGACTAGAGTTTAAGGTTTTGAGGGTTTGGGGCTACAGTACAGGGGGCCTTGGTAACCAGAAGAGTTCTATATATAAAAGGGTTGGCAGAACGGGGGTTCTAGGATTCAAGGCTATGGGCGCGCTTGCTTTGGTGAGGCTCGAGAGATGTTCGGTTTCAGTAGGTGGCGTTACTGCTTACAAGGTTTATAGTAAACACCCAAAAAGTTGGAAGCCGGAATCAGGACAAGTCGTGATGGGATTCCGTATACACGGCTCGTGAGGATTCAATTGGGTTTCCAACTGAACCCTAAAACCCTAAACCCTAAAGCCTGCTGAGCTTCTGCTGTAGGTTTCGCGCGTGTTTGCAGAGTCGCTGGGTTTGGGATCGCCACCTTCAGGGCTCGGTGCTTCGGAGACGAAGTCTGAAAAATTAGAGGCTTGGGTTTACTCATAGGCTCCGTAGTAGTTCATTTTTTTGGGATTACCCTTTAGGATCCTAAAAATAAACCACAAAAAGGAACTATTGAGGAGCCTATGGGTAGGGTTTAGGGATCTTGTTGCGTAGTCTTTCGTGGTGTCTTTAGTTCATGTGCTTGGGTCTGGCTTGAAAGGTTTGGAAGCCCGAGGTTGAATAAACATGGGATCATGTGACCCTAAGCTCCCAATACTTGGAACCCCTAGGTTTTAGGGTTTAGGGTTTGGGGCTTTTGGTTTTGGCTTTGGGTTTAGGATTTTGGGTTTAGGGTTTAGGGTTCACCAGGAACCCGAAGGCGCTCTACCCTAAGCCCGCAACCGACTGCAGCACGAGTCGACAGGCGGCGGCCCTGCGAGAACACGAGGAGGAGGCCTCGCTACCGGCTTCTGCGTAATTTAGGGGCCTAAATAATTACTGGGAGGTTCATGGGTAGTTATAAGTGGGGTTATAAGTCCCCTAATTTGGGTTATAACTATAGTTACCCTACTTATAACCCCACTTATAACTACCCATGAACCTCCAAGTACCTATAGTTTTTTTGGAGGCGCCTTATTATAACTACAGTATAACATATACCCCAAAACCTTATTCTAACCCTATTAAGGCCCCTATAGCTTGGGGGTTGTGAGGGGCGGGGGGTGGATGGGCTGCGGCAGTGTTTAGTATTTGGTGGTGGGTCGAGACCTGTAATTCTGGTATTTTCATAAACACCAATACTATTCTAAACCCTAGACCTTAAACCATAAGATTCAAAATTATATCTATACTATAACCCCCGAACCGTTAACTTTCGAACCGTATACTCATCGTTCAGGATCAAGAGCCAGGGTATCGGTTTGGGACTCACGCTAACTTGTCAGCTTCGTTCTTCGAGCTTCTCAGGGACTAAAGGACAGAGCCTTGAAGGGACCTTTGGGGTTATATAGGGGCTTTATGAGACTATATAAGGGGTATATAATGGTTAT